GGAATAGTAAGAAATTAACAACAATAGCTAATAAAAAATAGCACCATTATAACAATATACTGTAATAAAAGTTACATGAATGTTGTGTGCATGTGTCTCTTTTTTTTTTTTGAGATGTTGCTCTGTAGGCTGGAGTGCAGTGGTACGATCTTGGCTCACTGCAACCTCTGCCTCCTGGGTTCAAACAGTTCTCTTGCCTCAGCCTCCTGAGTAACTAGGATTACAGGCATGTGCCACCATGCCTGGCTAATTGTGTGTGTGTGTGTGTGTGTGTGTGTGTGTGTGTGTGTGTGTTGGAGTCTGTTGCTCAGGCTGGAGTGCAATGGCGTGATCTTGGCTCACTGCAACCTCCGCCTCCTGGGTGCAAGCAATTCTTCTGCCTCAGCCTCCCAAGTAGCTGGGACTATACGTGCTTACCACCAAGCCCACCTAATTTTTGTATTTTTAGTAAAGATGGGGTTTCGCCATGTTGGCCAGGCTAGTCTGGAACTCCTGACTTCATGATCCGCCTGCCTTGGCCTTCCTAGGTGCTGGGATTACAGGCGTGAGCCACTGTATCCAGCCTTTTTTTTTGTATTTTTAGTAGAGATGGGGTTTCATCATGTTGGCCAGGCTGGTCTCCAACTGTTGACTCAACTGATCTACCTGCCTTGGCCTCCCAATTACAGTATCTTTTTTTTTTTTTTTTTTTTAAGATAGCATTTCATTCATGTCACCCAGGCTGGAGTGCAATGGTGTGATCTCGGCTCACTGCAACCTCTGCCTCCAGGGTTCAAGCGATTCTCCTGCCCCAGCCTCCAGAGTAGCTGGGACTGCAGGCATGCATCACCACACCTGGTTAATTTTTGTATTTTTAGTAGAGATGTTTTCACCATGTTGGCTAAGATGTTCTCAATCTCCTGACCTTGTGATCTGCCCACCTTGGCTTCCCAAAGTATTAAGATTACAGGCGTGAGCCACGGCACTTGGCCAATATCTTCTTTTTTAAAAAATTTATTTATTTATTTTTAGAGGCAAGATCTCAGTCTGTTGCACAGGTTGGAGTGCAGTGGTGCCATCATATCTCACTGCAGCCTCACACTGTTGGGCTCAAGTGATCCTCCTGCTTCAATCTCCTAGGTAGCTAGGACTATAGGTGTGCACCAATACGCCCAGCTAATTTAAAAAATTCTTTTATGAGTCTGGTCTGGCTTTATTGCTGAAGTTGGTTTTGAACTCCTGGCCTCAAGCAGTCCTCCCACCTCAGCCTCCCAAAGTGCTAGGATTACAGACATGAGCCACTGTGCCCAGCCTCTCTCTCTCTCTCTCTTTTTTTCTTTGTCTTTTTATTTTTTTCCTATTTGTGGGAACAGGGTCCCACTATATTGCCCAGGCAAGTCTTGAACTCCTGGGCTCAAGCTGTCTTCCCACCTCTGCCTCCCTAAGAGCTGGAGGGTACAGGCGTGAGCCACAGCACCCGGCCAGCCTCTCTTACAGTATCTTATGTACTGTACTCACCCTTCTTCTTTTTTTTTTTTTGAGATGGAGTCTTGCTCTGTCACCCAGGCTGGAATGTGGAGTGCAGCGGCGCCATCTCGGCTCACTGCAACCTCCGCCTCCTTAGTAGCTGGGATTATAGGCACCATCATGCCTGGCTAATTTTTTATTTTAGTAAACAGGATTTCAGCATGTTGGTCAGCCTGGTCTCGAACTCTTGACCTTGTGGTCCATCTGCCTTAGCCTCCCAAAGTGCTGGGATTACAGGCATGAGACACCGTGCCCAGCCTTTTTTGTTTGTTTGTTTGAGACAGACCCTTGCTCTGTAGCCCAGGCTGGAGTACAGTGGTGCGATTTTGGCTCACTGCAACCTCTGCCTCCTAGGTCCTGGTTCAAGCAATTCTCCTGCCTCAGCCTCCTGAGTAGCTGTGATTACAGGCATGTGCCACTGTGCCAGCTAATTTTTGTATTTTTAGTAGAGACAGGGTTTCACCATGTTAGGGTTTCACCATGTTAGACAGGCTGGTCTTGAACTCCTGACCTTGTAATCTGCCCACCTGGACCTCCCAAAGTGCTGGGATTACAGATATGAGCCTTCGTACTTCTTCTTTGAAGGCCCCTTCTTCTTCTTTGACATTTCCAAACTGCCAGCATCACTACTCTTGTGCTTTGGACCATTATTAAGTACAATAAAGGTTACTTGAACACAAGCCTTATGATACATTGATAGTCTGATAACTGAGATTGGCTGGTAGGTGACTAAGGGGCTGGTAGCATATATGGCATACATAGATAGGCCGGACAAAGGGACGATTCATTTTCTGGGCAGGGTGGAATGAGAGGGCACAAGATTTCATCATACTACTAAGAACAGCACAGTTTAAAACTTATAAATTGTTTGTTTCTGGAATTTTCCATTTAATATTTTCAGACTGTGTTTGACTCTAAGTAATTGAAACTGTGGAAAGTGAAACCGTGGATAAGGGGGGACTTGTCAGGTCTGCATTTTGTGCATCTTTGTGTGCTCTATCTTATTAACTTTATGGGTAACAAAATTATTTTGTATTTGTGATTATTTTGTCACTAGCTTTAACTTGTATTTTACTTCCCTTTGAAGAATACCGTCAAGATATTTACTAATTGTAAAGATTCTTTACAGCGTTTTAAATATTAAGAAAATGGAGAGCATAAAAATTGCTGTAAATTATGTAATTTTACATTAAATGGAGAGGAAACACTGATTGCATAATATTGGTAACATTGTAGTATATACTGTTCTTAAGTGCTAAACTGGAAGAGTTAATTGTTCTCCAATGCTTCCTTACTTTTTTTCAAGGCGTTAGTGGAAATTGATGTATTCCTGGTACATGAGGAAAAGGAGTCTCATAACTGGAGGGTACCAGAGGTCTCTCATTGCGCTAGGCCCTACCAGGCTGATCCAGGGGCCAAGGAATCATTATCTTGAGAAACCTGTAATCCATGTTTGAGTCTGTCACTCAACACAGTTAGGGAACTCCGCTATAGAGTTTATAATTAATAGAATTATAAGGGAACAGGAACTTAGGTAGTAGTCACTGGTCATTTTATTTACTTGCGTCTTCTGTTTTAGTCTTTTTCTTTTTTTTTTTTTGAGAAGGAGTATTGCTCTGTCACCCAGACTGGAGTGCAGTGGTGCAATCTCAGCTTGTTGCAACTTCCACCTCCTGGGTTCAAGCGATTCTTCTGCCTCAGCCTCCCTAGTAGCTGGGACTACAGGTGCGCGCCACCATGCCTGGCTAATTTTTGTATTTTTGGTAGAGATGGGATTTCACTGTGTTGCCAGGCTGGTCTTGAACTCCTGACCTCATGATCCACCTGCCTTGCCTCCAGAAGTGCTGGAATTACAGGCATAAGCTACTGTATCCAGCCTGTTTTACTTTTTTCTTGATACCAAGATCTTTCTCAGTTTTCTTGCTTTTTTTTTTCAAAGAACTAACCATTGCTTTGTAGACCTAGTTGACTGTTCTTTCCTTGTTTCCTTCTATTTCCTTTGGGTTTACTTTGCAAGTTGTTTGTTTATTTGTTTTTGAGACAGAGTTTTGCTTTTGTTGCCCAGTCTGGAGTGCAGTGGCACGATCTCAGCTCACAACAACCTCAATCACAATCTGCCTCCTCACAACCTCTGCTTCCCAGGTTCAAGTGATTCTCCTGCCTCAGACTCCCGAGTAGCTGGGATTACAGTCATTCACCATCATGTCCAACTAATTTTGTATTTTTAGTAGAGATGGGGTTTCTCCATGTTGGTCAGACTGGTCTTGAACTCCCAACCTCAGGTGATTTGCCAGGATGTGCTGGGATTATAGGCGTGAGCCACCACGTCTGGCAAGTTTTTTTTGGGAAACGGAGTCTTGCTCTGTTGCCCATGCTGGAGTGCAGTGGTGCAATCTTGGCTCACTTCTGCCTTCTGGTTTCAAGTGATTCTCCTGCCTCAGCCTCCCAAATAGCTAGGATCACTGGCATGTGCCACGAGGCCCAGCTGTTTTTTATATTTTTAGTAGAGATGGGGTTTTACCATATTGGACAGGTTGGTCTCAAGCTCCTGACGTCAAGTAATCTGCTCGCCTTGGCCTTGAAAATTGCTGGGATTATAGGCATCAGCCACTGTAACCGTACCTGGTTTACGTTAAAGATTTAAAAAAACTTGTTGGCCGGGCTCAGTGGCTCACGGCCAAGGGAGGCTGAGATGGTCGGATTGCCTGAGCTCAGGAGTTCAAGATCAGCTTGGGCAACACGGTGAAACCCCATCTCTGCTAAAACACAAAACATTAGCCAGGCATGGTGGCATGTGCCTGTAGTCCCAGCTACCTGGGAGGTTGAGGCAGGAGAATTGCAAGAACGCAGGAGGCGGAGTTTGCAGTGAGCTGAGATGGTGCCACTGCTCTAGCCTGGGTGACAGAGCGAGAATTGGTCTCAAAAAAAAAAAACTTATTTAGACTGATCCCAGTGTAGTGCTGTTTACAACTCATTGATCATAGAGAGTTGCAGATTTTTTTTATTCCTTCTCCACTCCCACTGCTTCATTGATTACCCTTTTCTCCTCTTGCTCCTTCCCCAGGCAATCACTGATTTGAGTCCATGGTTGTTTTTGGACAGAATCCATGCAGCCCTCTGTGAGGCTGGCACCGCAGGCTTAAACAGCTGGCTGAGAGAGGCAGGAGTGAAACATGCCGAAGACTCTGTGCTGTGAATCTGTCCCCACTTTTCATACCACAAACTTCTTTTTAAGGATCTGGTCTTTCAATAGGAGCAATACATAGCTTTTTAGAAAAAGGAAAAAAACAACCTTAAAAAGGAGGAGGGTTAATTCTGATTACTCAAAACTGGTCATCTTCTCAAAGTAGAGCAGTTCACAGATTCACAAAGTCTGTCCAACAGAGGTGAGGGCAGGCCAGGCATCCTTTGGTCATGTGCCTGGCAGGGCTGGAGGAGCTGGTAGGGTGAGCAGGATACTATGGGCTCAGAGGTCCGGCTGGCCGTCTGTCCTCCACAGAAAAAGCTGCCAAGTTGGGGTGTTTAGTTTAAAAATTCCTGGTGGGGACAGGGAATCCCTGAAGGGAATACATTTAAAAAATTACACAGTAGAAATGGGGAAGGAGAACGAGAGCTGTTGCTCAAGAGCTTCTACGTAAAAATAAAAACTTTTAAAAAAAGGGAGAAAGAGAAAAATAGAGTCTCTTAAATAGTTCTGAGGGTTCTACAGATGAAGTGAAAGGAGGATGAGATGATGGAGACAGTTTTTATTGCTGGCCTGCCCCGAGTGGCTTAGCGGGCCTCCATCCGGAGCTTCTTCCTGCTTTGGGGCTCTTCAGGCTCAGACTCTAAGCTGGAGTCTGAGCCCCCATCGAAGGCAGAGATGGTGCTGCCCTTGGCGTTGGTGTAGAGGCTGCTGTCTGAGGCGGGGTAGTTGGTCTGCAGTTGGGCACTTGACCTCACCTTCTCCAGTGCACGGACCTGCTGCTCCAGAAGAGCATTCTGCTGCTTGAGGTCGTCAATATCTTGCTGGTGTGTGTGGTTTTTCCTTCGCATATACTGGATATACTCTGTGGCTTTGTCTAGGATTTGGGCCCAGGATGCCTGTGGCTTCTCTCCTTGGAGTGATGGGTCTGAGTCCCGCAAACTGTGAAAGCTGTCTTTGATGTGGTCCCTACGTTTTCGTTCCAGTGCATTATGATGAGCCCGTTTGTCAGCCGCAGATTGAAACCTCGGTTGCTCTTCGTCGCTCTCCACCTTGATGTCATCGTTATCGCTCATTTCCTATGGCCCAGGAAGCGGCCACTGCAGAGGTGGCCGGGAGGGGAAGGGGTGGAGGGGAGGGGGAAGTCACCGACAACAACAAGCCGAGTCCCCCTACCCACACACTCACTCACTCTCTCACACACACACACACACACACACACACACAACACGGGCAGGCTGGTCTCGAACTCCCAACCTTAGGTGATCTGCCCACCTCAGCCTCCCAAAGTGTTGGGATGAGTCACCATGCCCAGCCATTATTATTATTATTATTATTATTTTATTATTATTATTATTTTTTTTTGAGACAAAGTGGTATGATCTTGGCTCACTGCAACCTCTGCCTCCCAGTTCAAGCGATTCTCCTGCCTCAGCCTCCTGAGTAGCTAGGATTACAGGTGGCTGCCACCACGTCTGGCTAATTTTTACATTTTTAGTGGAGACGGGGTTTCACCATGTTGGTCAGGCTGGTCTTGAACTCCTGACCTTGTGATTCGCCTGCCTCAGCTTCCCAAAGTGCTGGGGTGTAAGCCACCATGCCTGGCCATTATTATTATTTTTTACATGCTTTTCTTTATTTATGTTTGACTTTCTGACAGTATCCTGCATCTTTTTTTTCTCCTTTGTACTTTTAATCTTTTTTGTCACTGTATGTTTTATTTTGGATCTTTATTGTGATTTATCTTTCAACTCATGAATTTTCTCTTTAGCTATATCTAATCTGCTTTTAAGATTGTCTGTGAGGGGGAAGTCTGTGTCGAGTCATCTCTGTTCCTCAGGATGTGGTTTATTAAAGTTGTCAAGAATATGGCCTACTTTAAGAGATACCAAGTGAAATTCAGAAGATGACCAGAGGGTAAAACTGATTGCTAGGCTCAGAAATGCTTGGTGATACTGGATAAAAATAAATACAGTACACCCAACTATAGGATGATAGTTTGTGTAACAAAGAGATAGCATTTGTCAAGTTGCTTGTACCCATGTAGAAGGAGATATGATAATCTGCACATTGAATGCACACAAACTGCCAAAATATGGTATGAAGGTTGGTCTGACAAATTATGCTGCAGCGTGTTTAACCAGTCTATGCTGGCCCACAGGCTTTTCAGTAGGGTTCGCATGGAAAAGATCTATAAAGGCCCAGTGGAGGTGACCAGAGATACATTACAATGAGGAAAGCATTGATGGTCAGCTTGGTGCGTCTGGATGCAGACCTTGCCAGAACTACCACTGGCTGAAAGTTTATGGGGCCCTGAAGGGAGCTGTAGATGGAGGCTTGTCTGTTCCTCACAGTAAGAAATGATTCCCTGGTTATGATTCTGAAAGCAAGGAATTTAATTCGGAAGTACATTATGGTCAGAGTGTTGCAGATTACATTCATTACCTAATGGAAGAAGATGAAGATGCTTATAAGAAACAGTTTTCTTAATACATAAAGAACAGTGTAACTCCAGACATGAGGGAGGAGATGTGTAAGGAAGCTCATGCTGCTATATGAGAGAATTCCGTCTATGAGAAGAAGCCCAAGAAAAAAGTTGAAGAAGTGGAACAGTCCTAAAATATCCTTTCCCCAAAAGAAAAATTGAGTAGCTCAAAAGAAGACAAGCTTCCTCAGAGCTCAGAAGGAGGCTGCTGAGAGCTAAACCAAACAATTCTCTATGAGGATTTTTCAGATAAAGACAATAAATGTATTGACTAAGCAGCTAAAAAAGAAAAAAAAAAAGGATTATCTATGAGGGTATATATATTTTTTCTTTTTCTTTTTTTTTTAAGATAGGGTCTTGCTCTGTTACCCAGGCCAGAGTACAGTGAAAGGATCACAGCTTACTGTAACCTCAATCTCCTGGGATCAAGTGATCCTCCCACCTCAGCCTCCTAAGTAACTGGAACTACAGATTTATACCACAATGTCTGGCCTTTTTTTTTTTTTTGGTAGAGATGGGAGTCTTGCTTTGTTGTCCAGGCTGGTCTCAAACTCCTTGCCTCAAGGGATCCTCCCACCTCAGCCTCCCAAAGTGTTGAGATTACAGGCATGAGACACCATGTCTGGCCTGTTTTTTCTTATTGTAGAATTTATTTTTCCAAATTTGCTTGTTTCGTTTGGCTTTTGTTTTTTGTTTTTTTAAAGTAACAACATTTTTTTGCCGAGTTTTTCAAGATTGAGATTTTATATTTTTGAATGTAGTAGGTATATGAATAGTTTGCTAATATCTAGGGGAGCTTTATTTTGTTCCCCATTGGTCACTAGTACTTGAGGTTCATCTTTTTCTAATATCTGGGCTTCAGATTTTCAGAAATTTAATCACATTCCATGTGTGGACTGCTTTTCTTCACTGGTAGGATATCACTTTTTGGGTTTCAAGGCCAAAGCAAGGGGTCATTTACTAAAGTTCCTAGTCTTTTTTTTTTTTTTTTAAATAAAGACAGGGCCTCAATGTGTTACCTAGATTGGTCTCAAACTCCTGGGCTCAAGCAGTCCTCTGACCTTGCCTCCCAAAATGTTGGGATTACAGGCGTGAGCCACAGTGCCCACCCAGCCACAAAGCCCTCAGTGTCGATGGGCCCTGGATTCCTACTTTTGTTCCTGGGGCCTATCTATAGCCTCAGCTTCGAAGTCTGCTACATCTCTGCTAAATCACCAAATGACCCCAGAGCAAAAGTGGCCTAGAATGCAAAGCTTCCTCTTTCTGGGATCTCATCCTCTTCTTCATCTTGATCACCTTATCTTGTTTCTTGTTCTATCTTTTTTTTTTTTTTTTTTTTTTTTGAGATGGAGTCTTGCTCATCTCGAAGGCTGGAGTGCAGCAGGGTGATCTTAGCTCACTGCAACCTCTGCCTCCCCGGTTCAAGCAATTATCTGCCTCAGTCTTCCAAGTAGCTGGGATTACAGGTGCCCACCACCACGCCTGGCTAATTTTTGTATTTTTTTTTTTTTTTTTTGAGACGGAGTTTCGCTCTTGTTACCCAGGCTGGAGTGCAATGATGTGATATCGGCTCACTGCAACCTCCGCCTCCTGGGTTCAGGCAATTTTCCTGCCTCAGCCTCCTGAGTAGCTGGGATTACAGGAACGCGCCACCGTGCCCAGCTAATTTTTTGTATTTTTAGTAGAGACGGGGTTTCACTGTGTTGACCAGGATGGTCTCGATCTCTTGACCTCATGATCCACCCACCTCGGCCTCCCAAAGTGCTGGGATTACAGGCGTGAGCCACTGCGCCTGGCCCTAATTTTTGTGTTTTTAGTAGAGATGGGGTTTCGCCATCTTGGCCAGGCTAAGTCTTGAACTGACTTCATGATCCACCTGCCTCAGCCTCCCAAAGTGCTGGGATCACAAGCATGAGCCACTGCTCCTGGCCTATGATTCTTTTAAGGAGTGTTTTCGGCTGAGTCTGGTCAACATGGTAAAACCCGTCTCTACTGAAAATACAAAAATTAGCTGGGCATGGTGGTGCACGCTTGTAGTCCCAGTAACTCGGGAGGCTGAGGCAGGAGAATTGCTTGAACCCATGAGGCGGAGGTTGCTGTGAGATGAGATTGCGCCATTGCACTCCAGCCTGGGTAACAAGAGTGAAACTCTGTCTCAAAAAAAAAAAAGGAGTGTTTTCCCCCTGCTTCCAGCTTTTTTAGTTTTGGGAGGAGGAGAGAGAGAGAGACAGAGAATTAGTTTGAATTATATGCTCCTTCATTACCTGAAATAAAGCCCTTAAAAAAAATAGATAAACTGTGACCTACACAGATTAAGTAACAGTGTAAGATCACATAATCAATGGAAATCCTGTTCTAGAATCTGAGTGATTTTAATGAAATACCTCACAGTCATTTATTAAGAACAGGGGCACCCAAGAAGGAATTTTTTGGTTCTGTTGAACCAGATTTATATTTGACACATGCTCATTCTTTTTAGACGTTTTAGATAGCCTAATAAGATAGGACCATCACTACATTATGTAAATATCAAATACCTTTGAAAATATGGGACTGTCAGTATAGATACTGCTTGAATTATAACTATGCATATATCTGATTGGCTTTTATGCACTAGTGTGAGAAGGTCACCTTGGAGCCGTGCAAAGTAAGTTCTTGGTTCCATTTTTCACTTGAATCCCCCTTGGATATCCTCCAGAATGATGTGTTTTCTTTCCCATTGCAACATTATTTTCAGCTTTGTGGAGAAACAAAGTATGTTCCAAGTAGCAGGTAGCCACTGTAGGTCACCTTTGAACTGTGAACTATTTTTTTTGCACCATGAACTGCTTCTAAAAATCACATAAACAATAGGAAGGTTGCCATCTGAATCAAAAACCAAAACAGCCTCACAATGTGTTTGAGCTGGTACTGAGCTACACTGGTATATGTGGGCTATATAGAATTATATGGTTTAGGTTACTTGTTATTTAAGTATAGCAGTGGCTTGGAGGAAAATACATTGAGTTTCAAATAGATAATTTCTAAAGGAAATTTGAAGCACAGTTGACTTGGCACTTCTGATGTTGGAATTTTAGAAGATTTTATTTCCATATCTCGATGTAATACCAAGGCAAAATCCACTAGAGGCTTGTTTATTTATTTATTTATTTATTTTTGAGACGGAGTTTTGCTCTTGTTACCCAGGCTGAAGTGCAATGGCGTGATCTCGACTCACTGCAACCTCCGCCTCCTGGGTTCAGGCAATTCTCCTGCCTCAGCCTCCTGAGTAGCTGGGATTACAGGCACCTGCCACCATGCCCAGCTAATTTTTTTTGGTATTTTTAGTAGAGACAGGGTTTCACCATGTTGACCAGGATGGTCTCGATCTCTTGACCTCGTGATCCACCCGCCTCGGCCTCCCAAAGTGCTGAGGCTGAGCCACCGCGCCCGGCCCTAGAGGCTTGTTTAAATGGTGTAAGCAATAACGATTTTGGCTATTTTTAAAATTTTCAATCTTTTTAAAATGTGGCCTCTTGAGAATACCATCTCATACTTCTCATTTTCCCTATACTTCCTTTTATGTGATTAAGTTTTACTATGTATAGACATAAAGGGGGCCTGGCATGGTGGCTCATGCCTGCAATCCCAGCATTTTGGGAGGCCAAGGCAGGAGGATTGCTTGAGCCCAGGAGTTCAAGACCAGCCTAGGCAATGCAGTGAGACCCTGTCTCTTTTTTTTTTTAAACATGGGTTTTCACCATTTTGACCACAC